GAAGTCGACGAAAAAAAAGAAGCAATCATATGAACAAAAGCAATCATATGAATAAAAATAAGTAATCAAGCCAGAATGCAAAACAAAACCAGAAAATAGAAAGGCTAGAACCTGAAATATGTCCATAGTTGTTTGTTTAAGGGTAGAAAAAGCAGCGGTGCCTGTTGACGTGAGAGGTTAGGGCTAATTGATGGTTAGTCGATCATTGGAGAACAGGGTAGTCGATGGTTACTGGTGGTCTTCTAGTGGTCTGGTGGTGTCGATGGTCACACAGGTGGTGGTGGTGATGTTAGAAGGGTTTTTGCGGTGTGGGAGAGGGGGAGATGGTTGCCCGATTGAGAGTGGTGATGATTCAAATTAGGGTTTAAAGGTTTGAAATACGTGAATGAGAGATAAGGGGAGAGAGAAAGAGAGATTACAACTTGACAAAAATAAGCTAACCTTTAATGACTATATTACCCTTTAGTCTATTAAAAATTTACAATCTCATCACATGATTTTTATAAATTATATTAGCCTTAGATCATAATATTTGAAGAATTTGCGTTCTCAACCTTTTTTGTTTTCTTATTTGATCCTACTCTTATATATATATATATTATATATATATATATATATATATATATATATATATATATATATATATATATATATATATATATAGGGAGAGGATCAAATGAGAACGCCTAAAATGTTAAGAACGCGAGAACAGTTCTGGACCAATCATTTTATAAGGGTATATTAGTAACTTTATATAAATATTAATTAATAATTTCCTAAAATCTAGGGATAATGATTTTAATTACCTAACAAAATTAATATTTCCTTTTAGTTAATGAAATATATATAAATATTTTTTTTTGTGATTTTTTCAAAAAATTATTTATGATCATTTCAAAAAAATTATCAAAAAAAATTAATATTTCCTTTTATTTTAAATCTGAAATGAAAATCTTAAAAAAAAATATTATTTTCTACTATTTTCACGTTTTTGTTTTTCAAAAAAAAAAAAAATAATAGAAATCCAATCCCAACTCAATACACTTCCAATCATAAATGAAAACACATCAAATTACAAATAATTCAATGCATTTTTCATAAATTGAAAATAAAAAATAGTATAGAAATTATCATTTTTTTATAAAATGAATACCTCTAATCATAAATAAATACACCCATTCACATGAATACGCTACTATCAATAAATAAATACAATCATTCACACACGAATATATTGCAATTCACAAATGAATACACTGTTATTTATAAATTAATACACATTCTATCATAAATGAATACACGTGCTATTTATAAATGAATACAACCATTCACACATAACTACAACGTTATTCATAAATGAGTACACATGAATAAATTCATAGTAGAATGACCACAAAGCCCCTGCTTCCAAGTAGAATGACCATAAATTCATAACTACAACGTTATTCATAAATTCATAAATTCATAGTGGAATGACCATAAATTCATAACTACAACATTATTCATAAATGAATACACATGAATAAATTCATAACTACATCCATTCACACTTACCCTTATTCCCAAAATACCATTCAGTCAAAAAATTCCCATATCGATCTCTCCTTATACAATTAATTCTTCCCTCTTTCACCATATAATTCTGATCCAACCAACCAATAAAGCCATCAGAAAGATCAAAAGAAGGAGACCTGAAGCCAAGCACCAGGAGCACAACCTAGGTCAACAACAGAGGAACGAGGTGTTATCAATTTGTACTGTTTCTGAATCTGGAGTAGCTGCACTTCCAATGAACAAATTCATGATGAATAGATCAATGAACAAATTCATGTCTTGTATTTTGACCAAATAAACAAACATGGTGTTTGTAATCTGGTTTGATAGCAACAAATGGTGTTCGTCATCTGATTGCAGAAAACTATAAAAAAAACTGAACTTTAAGGGGGGCGATGAATCCAAAATCTAAAGCAAATGGTGACGATCGGAACTTGCAGTGACAGTACGATGGTGGTAGTCGGAAGCTCAACAACAATGGCGGCAGTGGAGTTGTTTGCGATGGCATTGGGCTGCTTTGACGACTTCTTACTACTTTGTCTTTGCTTCTAACCAACGAGAACGAAGAGATGAAGGGAAGGGCAACATTTATCGGCAATGATTAGGGGTGTTTGGCCTTGCTCCGATCAACAGAAAAAGAAAAAAGAGAGAGCGTGGGGTTGTGGCGGTTTCACAGTGGCAAAGTGGCAGCCTTGCTCGACAGTAAACCAGAGGTGAAAGGTGGGGAGTTGCTGCACTCATGGTACACCGTAATTTCTATTTACTTAGATTAGGGTTTTTTAGTTAAATAGAGAGAGAGAGAGAGAGAGAGAGAGAGAGAGAGAGAGAGAGAGAGAGAGAGAGAGAGAGAGAGAGAGAAATTGTAGGAATTTCTATTTAACTAAATTATATTGATTTCCTATTGTACCCTTCTTGCCATTTCAAAGTTACATATTTAGCACATCAGTTTTATAAATGTTCATAAATGGTCCAATTAATAATAGCCATAGATCTAATTATTTACAAGGTTGTGATCTGTTATCGCGTTTTCAACCTTTTAGGTGTTTTCATTTGATCTTACTCATATATATATATATAATATATATATATATATATATATATATATATATATATATATATATATATATATATATATATATATTGTATTTTATTTAATGGCAACTTGGGAGCCATACATCAAATCACACAACTCAAACCTAAGATAACAAATGCATGTTGGTTTTTAACAGCTATCTGTTTCAATAGCTATATAGGGAAACAACACGAAACACCGATTTAATTTAATGCACTTTCGAATCTTCCAACTACATTCCCTCTGGTTCGTAGCCGTTGAGAGTTAATTCCCTCCCAACTTCAATTCGGCCATTAAATACAAACACCCACCCCTTAATTCTCTCCATACTCGAACGTCTTACGTACATGTCCATTTGCAGATCATGGCACCCACCGGAGACCAATACCTTCTGTCCACAGAAATCGTCAACCGGGGAGTTGAATCGTCCGGCCCCGATGCTGGTTCCATGTCTTTCTCTGTCAGGGTTCGCCGTCGGCTACCTGACTTTCTCCACTCTGTGAAGCTCAAGTACGTGAAGCTTGGCTACCATTACCTAATCAACCACGGGATTTACTTGGCCACTGTGCCGGTGCTGGCCCTGGTGTTTGGTGCGGAGGTCGGTCGTTTCACCAGGGAAGAGCTGTGGCGGAAGCTATGGGACACCACCGCCGGCTACGATCTTGTTTCTCTACTTCTTTTTGTTGCTGTCTTAACCTTCACCATAAGTTTTTATTTCTTGTTCAGCCCTCGATCCATCTATCTAGTAGATTTTGCATGCTTTAAACCCGATGATGATCTCAAGGTTGGTAAACCGATTTTATATTAATCTTGTTTTCTTGTAATGATTTGAACTAAACAGATCAACTACAATTGTCATATATCGATTCTCTTGAACTTCAGGTGACGAAGGAGGAATTTATCGGATTAGCAAGAAAGTCAGGAAAATTTGATGAAGAGAGCCTCGAATTTCAGAAGAAGATACTTGAATCTTCGGGGATCGGAGATGAAACGTACGTCCCAAAGGCAATAAGCTCGCCGGAAAAGATCTCCACCATGAAAGATGGAAGAGCAGAGGCGTCCCTGGTGATATTTGGAGCTCTAGACGAACTTTTTGAGAAAACCGGGATCCAACCAAAGGACGTCGGAGTACTTGTTGTAAACTGCAGCATTTTCAACCCAACGCCGTCTCTGTCGGCGATGATTATCAACCATTACAAGATGAGGGGAAACACTTTGAGTTTCAACTTGGGTGGCATGGGTTGCAGCGCCGGGATTATTGCGGTGGATTTGGCGAGTGACATGCTTCAGGCGAACTCGAATAACGTTGCGGTGGTGGTGAGCACGGAGATAGTATCGTATAACTGGTACCCAGGTCGTGATCGGTCTATGCTCATCCCTAACTGCTTCTTCAGAATGGGTTGCTCCGCCCTGATGCTCTCCAATCGCCGCGGTGACTACCGCCGAGCCAAGTACAGGCTTGAACACATCGTTCGAACGCATAAAGGTAGTAATGATTCAAGCTTCCAGAGCGTATATCAAGAAGAAGACGAACAACGATTCAAAGGATTGAAAATCAGCAAAGATATCGTCGAGATAGGCGGCGACGCCATTAAAACCAACATCACCACCTTAGGTCCATTAGTCCTCCCAGTCTCCGAGCAACTCCTCTTCTTTTCCACACTCATCAAGAGGTACCTTTCCGGCACCACCAAAGAAAAAAACGGCGTCACCACCCCGAGTAACTCTTCTCAGCTATTTCCACCGCCTTCCTCCACCTCCTCCTCCGCCACCACCACCAAGCCATACATTCCCGACTACAAGCTAGCATTCGAGCACTTCTGCATCCACGTCACCAGCAAGACGGTGTTGAATGAGCTGCAACGCAACCTGGGGCTGAGCGACACCAACATGGAGCCATCTCGAGCCACTCTCCACCGGTTCGGGAACACCTCCTCCAGTAGCATCTGGTATGAGTTGGCGTATCTGGAGGCGAAGGGAAGAGTGAAACGGGGCGACCGGGTCTGGCAACTGGCATTCGGGTCGGGTTTCAAATGCAACAGTGCTGTTTGGAAATCGGTTCGTGACATGGAAAAGCCGTCTGCCAACAACCCTTGGCTTGATTGCATAGATAGGTATCCTGGGGAGGTTCTTTCTCAGTCTAACCAAGTTCACCCTCTCAACTTTAGTTGAGTTACACTTTGGGTACCTTATAAATGTAAGAATTTTAAGCTCTTAGCAAAAGAAAAGGAAAATAATAAGAGTTTATAGTTTATCTTAATAATCAATCTCATTGCATTTAACAAATATCATTTTATAAGATTTTTGATTTTTTGTTTTTTGCAATTGTATTTTTACATTTTATTAAATTTCACATAATATCTAATGTAATAATAAATGTATATCAATTTAATAGTATCCTTTTAATTTCTAAGTTTCTAAATTTAATCCAATTATTTTATTTGTTTATTTATTTATATTATTTATTTAAATTTAAAATAAAAATAATAAATTAAACATTACATTTAAATAATTTAATATTTTTCTTTATTTCTTTATAAATTCAAACTTTCAAAATTTATAAATATTTATATTTTTTTCAATAAACCCGTGTATTGAAAATTAGGTTGGTCATAGTATTGTTGTTTTTTGTTTCATTTGATTGTTGATCACTTATCAATGCTTCCGGTGTATCATATCACAAGAAAGTATTGTATATTTGAAAACATGAAATATATATGTTGAAGTTACAAAAGGATACCTAGAAAAATGGAATAATCGAGACCATCATACTTAAGAAAATTTTGAGATCATTTATTTCAAACTATATGTGACAATATAATTTAAGTTGTATCACATAAATCTAATTTGTTTAAACATTCGAGATTTTAGTCAATAATTTTTTATTTTAATCGATAATTTTCATATCACAAGAAAGTATTATGTGTATTTGAAGACATAAAATATGTTGTAGTTACAAAAATGTATATAGAAAAATAGAATAATTGAGACCATCATAATTAAGAAAATCTTGAGATCATTTATTTAGAACAATACGTGACGACAATATAATTTAGTTGTATCACATAAATCTACAATTGTTTACGTATTTGAGATTTTAGCCAATAATTTTTTAATTTAATCAATAATCTTTTCTCATTAACGATAAACTTATATTTTTAATAGAAAATGACAAATAATATTATATTATTATAATATTATTGTATTCTCTCTATCCGAGATATAATATTATCTTATTGTAATGTTGTTGATGTATTCTCTATCTAAAAAATGATATTACTTTTTACTATTATCTTATAGTATTTTATGTATCTCCAACGAAACTTGAACTCATGATCACTCTGAATTGAGAATGTCAATCATTACCGTTAGACCAAAGGGTCTTTGGTGACATTATATTACGTTATTGTATTATTTATGTTTGATGGAGGGTGTTATCTTATTGCAATCTCATATTCTCTATGTTTGACTAAGGATATCATATGTCTATGGACATAATTTTTTTTTTTTTTTGTCATTTTTGGTTTTATTAAGACAAATTTGTCACTAGAATACAATAATATAATAGTAAGATAACATCATCTATCACACAAAAAGAATACAATAAGATTATAATACAATAAAATTATGTCTTTTTTCGTTAAAAATATCATTGGCATTATCGTTAATGAGCCTAAAATGTATTGACTTTTCTAATGATTACCTATTAAAAAGACTAAAATCTCACATGTGTATACGTTGACAATTTCTTATCATTTTCTATAAATAGTTTCTTGTTTTTTGTCTTCTCTAGTTTAAAATAATAATACGCCTAGAATTTAAGGACTTTGATGTTTCTCACATATATATTATACACAACACATCTATGTTCAATAGAAACTTTAGTACATAGAAAAAAACTACAACTTATCTGAAGTCTAACACACTTGTGTTCGAAGACCCGATCCGAATCTAAAAAGACCAAAAATGTTCATACCACAGACATACACACAAAAAAATAAAATCAGAAACATCCAATAAGTAATAGCCATATGATATTAGATTGATTAACCAAAAAAACAATCAAATCTCTTTCAGGCTAGCCATTCCCCATCCATCCCTTCAATTTCACCTATGTCCATACTGCATTTTGATAAATGTCACTCACATATTAGCTAATCAAAAATAACTTAACAATCCTTAAACAAGAATATGTATATCCTTTTTTTTTAACTTATTTTAATCGTGTATATATATATATATATATATATATATATATATATATATATATATATATATATATATATATATATATACTTTTAACCAACAATTTACAGGCCTAATTGTAGGACCTGTCACAGAATCTGAGAATGAGACAAACACAATTAAAAAAACATGGTGGTGAGTGGGGACCTGTTTGGTCTCATTGCAATTATGCCTACTCTTTTTACCAAAACAGTAAAAAAAACATCTTTATTGGTAAGTAAAGGGTTAAATGAAAGAAATAACAACAAACTTCAATTGATTTGTTTATTACAGCATCCATTTTCATTTTTCCTTATTAGAGCGTTGTACTTCGAAAAATCTACCCAGTTATAGCAATGTCATCAGAAAATACAAAGAAATTTTTCACAGTTTCACTGCATCAATGGGCAGATTTTTCAAAGTTATAAAAAAAAATTAAACTACAATGCCTTACTATAGCATCTTACTTTCCTTTCTCCTTATTACAACATTGTGCTTTGAAAAATCTACCAATGTCATCTATACTTGGGTAGTTTTTATAAAGTATAATGTCCTTATAAAGAAAAAAAAAACTCGATTAATGAATATAAATCAAGAATGAGAATATCTCACCAAGGCAAAGCAGGATCTGGAGAGTATTGATCAGAAAATTGGTGATCATAAAATTGTTGCAAAAAGGAGCTCTCATTTGCATTAATCAACCATGGTGGGAATTCCATGACTTGGTCAAAAGGATGATACTCATCATCATTATCATCATCACCATCATCATCATAAGCTGGGCTCCTGTTCACCGAGACTCCACCACAAGAGCTAACCGCCGCCACTTCCTTGGCGGCAGTTGAGGAGGTTGACGGGGAGGAGGAAGCAGATGATGAAGAGTAAACCGCCATTGGTGTCTTCAAGTTACTAAAATCTTGAAAATTGAGATTCAATCCCAAGGTTTGTGTAGGGAGTACAAAATTGAGGTTTTCTTGATGCAGTGGTGGAGGAAAAGGTAAGCCTGAATAAGACCATAAATAACTGTTGGCGGCAGTGGTGGTGGTGGCCGGAAACAGCCTAGAATTTGATTCCGGTGGTGGGTGTTGTTGAAGGACATAATTACCCTCTTGTTGCTTCATAGAAGCTCTATGGAACTTAAGAGCAGTAGCAATCTCTCTTCTAGCTTCAGCCATATTCAAAAGCCTATCTTTATAGGGTTTGTTGGTTTGAAGTCTCCTCCTAACTTGTTTCTTGGATTGTTGAGTATTATTATCAACTTTTTCTGTTTCCATTGATACCCCTCAATTCTGCAAACACTCTTTTCTTCAAATGATATGGCTTTCTTTTCGGATAGCAAAACACAGGTTTTCTTGGATATAAATACCTGGCCTTCAATCTAGTTTTTTTATTATATCTCTCTATATTATTTTTTAAATATTTATGGATTTTTGTTGCCCCTTCTAGGTTGTTTCCTTTCCAATTGTATTTACAACTACTGACACAATCTTTTTATTGTGCCACCATTATTGGAATCATGATCCAAAAATGGTATGTCATATAACCACTATATTTATCCTATTCCACTTGATATATATATATATATATATATATATATATATATATATATATATATATATATATATAATATATATATACATTATACTACCCCTCATCATTCATCAACTTTTTAAAATCCTATCCCTTAGGATACTCATGCCAGAAATTGCATAAACAATACCAAAATAAAGGGCATGTGATAATAAACTAAAAGATGCAGCTTATATAAGCAAAATAAAAGCATATTTTACTTATACATGTACAATCTTATCTAGTACAAATTTAAAGAAGAATTGTTCACATTCATATCTTTCATGATGTTAGGAGATGTGATAATATTATATGCATTCTTTTAAGTGAATCTAAGCTAAATAATACTACTTTGGGTGATGAGTGATAAAACAGGGCATTTTGGTCATTAAGTAGTTTGAAAGGGTAATAATAATATTTCTTTGTCTGCAAGCTTGTGTAATGGGACCAACCTCAAAAACATTCAGAAGTAGGCAATGGGAATTGATGGGAGAATTTCGTTTCTTGTTGTAAGGTAAACTTCTTTCTGTATGTGTATGTATTGTATGTATGTATGTGCATGTGCATGCATAGTATATATACATATATACGTGATTATATATATATGTAGATGTATATGAATAAAAATAGGAAATGGATAAAATCAATTATTGAAAATTGACCAATAACATTAATGTCTAGCGCAAAAACAGAGCACCTGGACCTTTTTATGAGGAAAGATAACACCACTAGCCTGATAGAATCAGAATTTCACCATACCATTTTACTCACTTTCTTCAGGTTTACTATTCATTGATGTTATTTCTCATAATAATTATTCAAAAACTGTTAAATCTGAGTATGGAAGATGCATGGCTTCCTACAACTTTAGCAGTCTTCTGTCTGTTAACAATGGTAAAAACAGCCATCATATTTTACTGAGTTTTCACATCGAAAGTAATGATGAACCATATAATCAAACTGTAGCATAGATTGTTGAGTAAGGTTCAAGAGTTGAGACTAACATACACGATATAATTTTGGTTTATATTTTGAAGATCAACAACAATGAATTTCTTGATGTGGTTTACTTATAGGAGAATTAACGTATTAGATCCATTGAAATTTAAAATCATAAACATAAACAGTTGGTGTGCACTGAAATGGAGGCTGCAATCATATGATACATACACATATTTAAAATTTATTCTAAAAAAAAAAATGAGGAATCTAAGAGGCATGGGACTATATTCCAAATGTGACACATATTTTTTTGTACTAGAATGAATTATTTTCTAGAATGACAGCTGAATAATGCGTAGAGAGTAAAAGAAAAACAACTTAATGTCATAAGATCATATACACATGTGAGCATGATAAACTGGACAGAAATCGAGATACGAAACCCATATAATCAGAATCTAAAATGATTCAAACAATACAACATATAACTCATCATAATAATCAATAATAAAACAGATTCTGAGAGACAGAGAGAGAGAGAGAGAGAGAGAGAGAGAAGAGAGAGAGAGAGAGAGGCCTGCTAACTGCTAAGGAGTCCACTGATTGTTTAGATAAGCATCAAATTGGACAAGGCATTGGCTACTTTCTGATAGAGAAAACCCAATTCCACCAATCAGAAATCGCCATGATTTTTCTCTTTAAAGAAAGAAGGGTGGCTTCCAAAATTTCTCTCTCCCCTCGTCTTTTAGATTCCATTCACAAAGAGTAAAAAAAAAAAAAAAACTGAAGATCCAAAATTGAAATTTATGAGTCGCACCAACTCAAGTTGCAAAAAAAAACCAGTGGGGAAGTGAAGGAGTGTCGATTCGCCCATTGGATTTGGATTGCAGCATCTGATCAGAACAGCTGCCCTTCCTTTCTCTCTCTTACTTTTATTTCCCCTCTGCCTCAGGTTTTCTGCTTTGTAGGATTAAATGGGTTCATATCTTAAACTTAAAATAATAACAAAATATATATAAAC